CCAAATCGTATCCGCCTCGTCTTGCTTTCGAGTAACGTTACGCGACGTCGACGATTCTGGAGCGACAATTCGTCGCAGTTGCTCCATCCTAAAATCCGCCCATTACCCCGTGACAATATTAAACTCGTATATAATCTGGATTGCATCAAAATCCTGACAACCAAAATCCCGATAGCGATAAACGCAGCCGACCTGGCTTTAGCCATCCTCATATTTGGAATGTTCTACCTAACGCTAAGAATTATGACTGTCAGGATTTTGGACCCTATAATTTTGAGTAAATGATAATATAATGAATTGTATTTGTTCAAAAAAAAAAAAAGATCATAAAGACATTTAAGCAATTGTTTTATAATGAATATACAAATTAGAGTTTGTTGTCAAAAATCATTAAAAGGTTTATGTTGCAGCAAAAGTTTTGTTATCATATGTATAAATGTGTAATATATAAATGCCATTATTCTTGCAGCAGTTTAATTTTTAATATTTTATAGTTTAGGCTGTTTGAAATTGATATTTCGTTTAACTTTGTCTCCCCCTCTCCATCTCCCGAGCTCCTCCCAAAAATTAAACAAATAGAAGTGACAGGTTGATCGATATAATAAAATCATAGCGTTAGCGATAAGAATAGGCATCTTTTTAGTACTCGTGTAACGTTCCGATCAAAAACGCTAACAGCTAATATTTGTACATACGTACACATCAGTGCATACGTATACATACCGCTTCATCATCCATGTTTATTTATTATCTTGCTAAAAATGTCTTCTTTAATAAGGATCGCTCTTGGTGCTTCCAAATTAGAGTAGTGTTATCTAAGGAGATGGTTGCTAAGCGTAACTGGCTATTGAAAGTAACAGTGACAACTTTTCCTTCAGTTGCTTTCCAAATTAGGTTGATCGAATTTTTTATAATTTCTTTACTTTCTACATTATTTTCTAATATCACAGTAGCCAAGGATATTGATTTTTGAAAAGAAAATATGTCAGAAGCCTGAAATTCTTGTTATAATTGTCCCTACGTTGTTTATATTAATATATAATGATCTTATTACAGTATAAATTTACGTATATTCATCAAAAATGTAATGACGTGGATACATTAAAATGAATTCTCGGGTTAATCATTCGCTCTACCTTGCAATGATACCTGGTCATAGACAGAAGTTCGTCTGATTGGCTAATAAATTCAATTTAATTTTACATTATTTATACAGTTTAGAGTACTT